CTTCATCCGCCAGGTGACCGACGCCGAGACCAAGCCCAAGTGAGTGTTAATCCACGTTTGCCTTCCTGCTGTTTAATGTGTTTGATTCATGCTGCTGTTTGAGTGTTTCTTCTCAAGCACTGCTCGATTGTTTCAGCTCTTTATCGACGCCTGCGTTCAGCGCTGTCTGTTTGTCCAGTAATGTCTTCAGAAAGAGCTTTAGCAGACGCTCAGATGCATCAGGAGGCGCTCGCTGCATTACGCGTGTCTCTGGTCTGATCACATACTGATCATCGTCTGTTAAATCTGTGCACGTCTGCATGTATATTGATCAGGTGTTCAGGTAGTTTGTCTTGAAGCCGCACGTGCGCTAGTGTTTGATTGACAGGTGAGTGGGCGGTCCTTCACTCTGAACGCTTGTGCTCTTGTGTTCACAGATCCACGTGAATCCGCTGTGATCGCAGACGTCACGTTCACTCACCATGAAACGTTCTGCTGCCACTCGTTTCCATCACGTCTGTCTGTCTTTTTATTCTGTCTCTGTCAACAGATAAAATTCAGTGTTTTCATTTTGTTTTGCCCTCCAATGTGTGTATTTTTTATGTGCTTAAGAACAATAAAATATCCTTTTTATACACTGAACATGTGTCATTTATCATGATCTTTCTCTGATCAGCTCTCTCGGTAAATGAAGTCCACCGTGACCTCGAGTCATTCGTGTCGTTGTTTTATGAAATGTGGATTTAATTCTTTGAATTGTGACTATGAATTCATTAAAAATAGAAACATGAAATCCAATCAAATCCACAGACAAACGGTTTTGTTTGTTGACAGTGAATGGTGGGTTGTGCTTGTGTTCAGCTGCTCTCACACACACTCACACACACACTCTCTCACACACACACTCACACACACACTCTCTCACACACACACTCTCACACACACACACACTCTCACACACACTCTCTCTCTCACTCACACACACACACACTCTCTCTCTCTCACACGCACTCACACACACACACACTCTCTCACACTCACACTCTCTCTCACACACACACACTCTCACACACACACAC